CCCCAAAACCCCAAAACCCCAAAACCCCATTATCATCTAATCCGCAGCATAATTAAACTCTTAATATATAAATTTAATAATAATTGAAATAATATGCTCCGCAAATTATCAAAAGTATTCTAATAAAACACTCTCATTCCTGTTCATTTAGGTAGCTATCTATCAAGCATCTTTGCCTTTGTAGCATTCCCAACTTGTTCATAGATTGAATCTCAATTAGGACAATAAATTAGGCTCTAACATTATGTTCTAAGGATGTAAATTAAACAAATAAGCTTAATGAAATGTTTAGAAGCTAATAGAAGATTATTTTCAAGTCAAATCGGTGATTAATCAGACAGCATTTTCAAGCAAGCAGACTATTTCGCATAAGGTCAGTCGATTGATACAGAGACAATCTCCTAAGCAGCTTCAAGTGCTAAAGAAATTCCATATGTATGCTTCATAATGAAGGAGTAATTAATTTTAGTTTGATGCCAATGACACTATTGCGACTTTCATGTCTGTTTTACCAAAGGACTCAGAAAATTTAATTCAAGGAGTGAGTATTTTTAAATCGGTAATTGCCTATTAGGTTTCTACATATGGATTCTGGGAGTACGTTGCATATCTTGATGACACTTTCTACGGAATGTGGATCACTGCTGCAGAGAATTTAGGAATGGGTATGGGACTAGGATTAATTGCTAGCAGTCTACTTACCAAAGCAGTGTTCACTCCTATCATTATCTACTCAGTAATACTTAATTGTTTTGTTATATATTTTAGCAATCTATCGGAGTTAAAATGAAGTTGCTACAACCAGATCAAGAGGAGATAATGGCAAATATGAAGAGATATTCTTAATAAGGAGTAAATATTTAAGTTTCAAATAATATTTTTAGAATAGAGAGGCAGCTAAAATTGAAAGACAGAAGATGAAGTTTTTAAGAAGACAACACGGAGTCTACCCTTTGATTTCAATGCTCAATGTTTTCTAAATGCCAGTCCATTTGGTTTACATTTCCATGATCAATCGACTCTCATTTAACTACGACTTGTGTCCAAGCATCCTAACTGATGGGTTTTTGTGGTTCAGAGATCTAAGTGCTCCAGACCCATATGGCATTCTTCCACTAATTGGTGGTTTAATTTCACTCCTAAACATCTTGTCAACTTCAACGACAAGCATGACTCCAACAATGAGGAAAATCAGAAGATACGTTTATTTCTTGCCTCTTATATCAGTACCTATTTGGATGACCTTCCCAGCTGTAAATATTTTTAAAACTCATACTTTAGGCCTTCAATCTTTATTGGATCTCATCATCATTAATTCACTTGGTCATATTGAACTTATTTAGAAATGTTAAGTTTAGAAACTTCATCGGAATTCCAGAGTATCTTCCAGGCACAAAGCTAGAAAGATTGGTAATTAAGTGTCTTTATATTTATTAATCATAGAACATGAAATAATCAGTAGAAGTCTTAAAACCTAAGATATTTACTACTCAGCCCTCAACAAAAGATAAAGCTATCAAAGCACAGTAGGAAAGCTGATTTATTTTGAATAAATGACTGCATTATTTAATTTACTTTTAATATCCAAATTAATGGGAATGACGGGGTTTTGGGGTTTTGGGGTTTTGGGG